ACCACTAATGCTGGTTGGACCTTTTATCTTTCCACAGGCTCATGTTTGTGAATATTTCCCCTCTAGAAGAGAATGTCTCGGAGTCCCTCAACTCTCTACGCTTTGCCTCCAAGGTGCGATTACTACCAAGCCCAGTCCTTATCAGAACCCCTGGCTAGATGTAAGGCATCTCCATCCCAACCTCCTCTTCTCTCTGCTTGAGAGGTAGAGGCATTTATCAAAAAAAGAATTTACTTTTTTTGGTACTGTGGATTGAACCCAGGGGTGCTTAATCATTGAGCCACATCCCAGCCTTTTTTATTTATTTTGAGACAGGGTCTCACTAGTTGTTTAGGGCCTCCCTAAGTTGCTGAGGCTGTCTGAACTTGCAGATCTCCTGCCTCAGCCTCCTGAGTCGCTGGGATTACAGGCATGTGCCACCATGCCCTGCTTGCATTAAGTTTTTAAAAATAGGTGATTAGGGGCTGGGGGTGTGGCTTAGTGGTAGAGTGCTTGCTTGGTATGTGTGAAACCTGGGTTCAATCCTTGTCACTGCAGAAAACAAAAACCAAATAGGTGACTAAATGGTCAAAACTATATGTTACAAAAAGAAGCTATATGCATTTCTTATTGCCTTATGTGTGTATATAGTTTTGTGCCTTGTTTGTAATATTATTCCTCATCAGCACTCAGGGATCATAGAATTATTTTTAGGTCTGCCTAGCATTCCACTGTGAAGATAACACCAAAATTTATCCACCAGTTCCCTCTACTGGACACTTGGATTGTTTCCACTCACTTTCTATTATGAACAAAGCCACATTGACTAACCTTGAAAACATGTCAGTTTGTATTCTTTTAGTTACATCTAACTAGGGAAATACTGTTTGAAATGGAATTGCTAGAACAAAAGAGATAGGCTGGTTTTTCAGAGCATTCCAAATAGTGTGAAGTCAGCCTCCAAATCCCACAAGGGTCAATCAGCCCGGTGGCCATGAACTCTCAAGGACACTTAGTGTTCCTGTTAGAGTTACACAAGTCAAGGGAGTTTCTGTTTCAGGGAATAAAAATAAATAAATAAATATATATATATATATATATATGTATTTTTTCCCTGAACCTAGAGCCTTTCAGTGAGTTTCTGGCATTATTTGTGGTCTGATTGTGTCTGCCCTTCTGGTGTGCTTAGGCTTCCCCCATGCAGTACTGGCTTGCTACCATGGAAGCTGTCTCAGCACCTGCATTGGCTGTGCTCAGGTTTACCCCTGATATTTGGCAAGTTCAATTAAAAGGGCATTGGCGTTTGTTTCCAACTATTTATATATGTATTTTTTTAAATATTTATTTTTTAGTTGTAGATGGACACAATACATTTATTTATTTTTATGTGGTGCTAAGGATTGAACCTAGGGCCTCAAATGTACTAGGCAAGCGCTCTACTGCTGAGCCACAACCCCCAGCCCTTGTGTATGTATTTTTATTTTGGCATTGGAGATTGAAGCTAGGGCCTCCTGCATACTAAACACATGCTCTACCACTGAGTTATATGCCCAGTCTTTTAATTATATCAACATGCAGCGATATGAACCTTTTTTTTTTTTTTTTGGATAAGAGATTGAACCCATGGGCACTTAACCATCAAGCCACAACCCCAGACCTTTTTGTTTTCTATTTTGAGATATAGTGTCTTGCCAAGTTGCTGAGGACCTAGCTAAGTTCCCGAGGCTGGCTTTGAACTTGCCATCTTCCTGCCTCAGCCTCCTGAGTCTCTGGGATTATAGGCATACACCATTATGCCTGGCCAACCTGAATTTCTTTTTTCTTTTTTTTTTTTTTGAGAGAGAATTTTTTTGGTATTTATTTTTTAGTTTTCGGTGGACACATCATCTTTTTTTTATTTTTATGTGGTGCTGAGGATCGAACCCAGCGCCCCGTGCAGGCCAGGCAAGCACACTACTGCTTGAGCCACATTCCCAGCCCCTGAATTTCTTAATATCCCCTAATAACCAGTTAAGTTTCATCTAGTTGCCTTAGTTAAGTTTCACTTAATTAATTAAATTAAGTTTGTTAAATCAGGATCCAAGCAAGGGTTGTTCATTTCATTTGGTGGAATATTATTGTAGTCTGCATCAAGCCCTCTACTCCCTTTTATGCCATTTGTTAAAGAAGTAGAACAATTTGTTCTACTTAATGTGCCATATTCTGGATTTGGGCTGGTTGCTTCCCCTGCCATCTAAAGGCATTACTTCAGATATTGTAGGTTTGGCTCCAAAATACTAAAAATACAAAATAGTAAAATAAATCAAATGTTGCAATAATGTAAGTAACGTGAACTTTTTGTTTCCTAGTGTATATAAAAGGTATGTTTACATTATACTGTAGTTTATTAAGTGTGTAATAGCATTAGGTCTTAAAAGTACATACCTTGGGGCTGCGGTTGTGGCTCAGTGGTAGAGCGCTTGCTTGGCATGTATAAGGCACTGGGTTTGATCCTTAACACCACATAAAATAAATAAAGGTATTGTGTCCATCTACAGCTAAAATATATATATATTAAAGTGTACGTACCTTAACTGAAAAATGGTAAACAGTACTAATGATCATCTGAACTGTTAGGAAAAATGGCACCAATAGAATTGCTCAATGCAGAGTTGCCACAAAACTTCAATTTTGTTTGAGAAAACAAACAAACAAACCTGTTATCTGCAAAAGTGCAATAAACGGAAGTGCAATCAAATGAGATATTCCTGTATTTGGCTGCTCAGGAAATCAGTTCTTAATAGAAAAGAAAGATGCTGAATTCTGATTGATTTCTCAGTATTTAATTGATATCTAGCAACTCCAAAGATGGTTGTTAAGGTTTTTATTGAGGTGGGAGGCAGACAGTAATTTTCTATGTACTTATGTATTTGAAGTCTGTTCTTTGTAGTTATTATTCTTTCTGATACCCCATCTTTGGCAATATGAGCCCCTGCAAGTTGGCTCCTGTGTCCTTCATTTTAGGGGCAGTGCTGGGGATGGAACCCAGAGCCTTGCATATGTGGGGCAAATGCTCTACCGCTGAGTTATATCCCTTAGTCCTCCTGTCCTTTAAAAGGAATTGCAGCAATCTTTTTATTTTATTTTTTTAGTTGTAGATGGACAAATGCCTTTATTTTATGTGGTGCTGAGGATTGAACCCAGTGCCTCACATGTGCTAGGCAAGCGCTCTATCACTGAGCCACAACCCCAGCCCAGTTATCTTTATTTCAGATTCATCTTGTATATTTCCTCCTCCCGTGTTAGGATGATCCATTTTCTAAGGAACCCTAGTTCTTAAGTGTTTTTAATATTTTGTCTAGGTTGTTTTAAAGTAGAAGGGTTTGGATGTCTCTAGTCCAGGGTGTTGCTGGAAATGAAAATATTCTCTCTGCTCCTATATCTTCATGTGAAACTTCCATCACTTCTTGGGCCTTTTCACCTTCAAACCTCAGTGGGAATAGAAGGAACCTTAAGTGGGACCAGCATGAACCTGTCTTCAGAGCCCTTTATTTCAGTATTCCCTAAGGGCAGCCCTAGCATGGGGTGAGGGGTAGTAGAAGAAATTGTTCTTCTGGTTGCTCTGTAATTTGTTTTTATCCTGTCTAATCTTTCATCTCCAGGTGAACCAGTGTGTGATTGGTACTGCTCAGGCCAACAAGAAATGAAGATGGATCCAGATCTTATTTGTGTGTGTATGCGCACTTGTGTATGTTTTTGTGTGTATGTGTTGGGGAGTGGGGAATGCCTTATTGGGTGGAGGGCACTATGTACCCCAGCTTATCAAATAAAGAACAGTTCTTGATTTTTATTTTTTTTTTAAATTTAATTAAATTATTTATTTATATGTGGTGCTGAGGATCGAACCCAGGGCCTTGCACGTGCGAAGCAAGCCCTCTACCGCCGTGCCATAACCCCAGTCCCCAGTTCTTGCTTTTTAAATAAACGTTTTATTAGCGGTTGGCAGAGGAAGCAATTTTTCACATCTGTAAAGATAAGAGCTGTGAATTGTCCACTCTGCTGTTTGTGTGTTTGGTTTTGTTGTGCAGTACTAGAGACTGTACATAGGGCTCCTTCATGGTAGGCAAGCTCTACCACTGAGCTATATCCTCATCCCTTTTTATTTTGACAGTGTCTCACTAAATTGCCCAGGCTAGCCTCAAACTTGCAATCTCCTGCCTCAGCTTTTCAAATATGCTCTTGTGCTCTTACGCCCAGCGTGATTGTGTTTTGCAGAGCCATGACTGGCTTTTCTCCCATTTCTTACCTGGTCTGGAACATTCTCCACTCTGTAATGCCCCCTCCGTGTCGTTCGCAACTGGAGGCTGTGCCCATAGCTACCACCCTCACCTTCTAAGTTTCCCCTTGAAGTTTCCCCTTCTCGCAAGTCATCCCACCCCTAAGCAGGAACGCTCTGTGGGTGGGTGTGGAAAGGTGGGGATCTGAGGCTAGAGGCGTGGCCGGAGTGTGCTACCACAAACTGCTGGCTTTTTCCTCCCGCCCTTTTCCTTCCTTTGAGTTCGAACGTCCCGGGCCCTGCCCGCCCGCTGCCCATTGGCTGGCTCTAGTGGGCGTCACCACCTTGGGTACTATATCTACGTCCTTGCACCGCCCTGAAACCGCGGGTTGGGCCGAGCATGCGAAGAGGGCGCACACACCCGCCTACTGCCTCGCGCCAACCGCGATGGGCCGCCGCCCCATAAAGGAGGGGCTCAGTCTTCCCAGGTGCCGTACGCGGGAGGAGCCACGCGTGCGCACGAGCGCGGCGGAGGGGGGACAACTTGCCATGGAGAGGGCGGGGCCGGGGCAAAGGCGGGAGGAGGGCGGGGCGCTAGGGAGGAGGGCGTGGCAGGGGCAATGGGAAGGGTGAATGGAGGGCGGGATTGTGAACTGGGGCTGGGGGCGGGACTTGGAATGACCATGGGGGTGGGGCAGTTAACGGATGTGGCATGGGGCGGGGGGCCAATCTGGAGGCAGGCGGCCGAGGAGGGGGATTCCCTCTTGCCCCAAGGGCGCGTCTCCCATTGGAGGAAGGGGCTGCGGGGATTCCCTCTCCCTCTGGATCCGGCTATCCGCGCCCCCCTCCGCGGAGGGGCAGCCTCTTGCTCGGCGCCCTCCAGGCCTGTTGGAGGTGAGGGAGGTGGGGTGAGGTGGTGCCCGCCCCCCACTTCGGCTCCTCCTTCCCCCACCTCGTCCTCCCCTCCCATCACCCTCCCCCCCAGTCGGTCCGTCCCTCCCCTCTCTCCCCCCGCCGCCTCCTCCTGCCGCTGCCGCTGCTTTGGCTGCTGCGTCATACGCCCCAGAGCTGCCGGGACGAAGGGGCTGGGCCTGGGGACCCCCCGGCCTCTACCTGCACGCCCCCTGACGCCAGGACTTGCCCTCCCCGCGCGGGGGGCTCGCCCAGGTTTTCTGCGTCGGCCCCTGCCCAGCTCTCGGCGGCCCCAGCTGTCACTGGTAAGAAGGCGGCATGAGGCGCCAGTGGGGGGGCAGGGAACCGGGGGTCGGCGCGCAGGGCGCGGGCGGGAGAGCCCCGCCACCCTGGCCTCGGGTCCGGGCTGGGCCGACTCAAGTCCCTTCTTGGACTTGCGGTCGTGGGGAGTAGAGACCGGGACTGGGACACGCCCCCCTCCCGGGGCACTCAGGGAAGTTATCTAACCCAGGGGCGGGGAGCCCCGAATTTGAGGGTGACCTGACATAACCTAGCACAAGGATGATTGTTCTGAATGAGACCTGCAGGCCTAGGGGGAAAGTGGTGTTTCTACTCTGAAAAGCGTCTCTGAGCAACCGAGTAGCCCAATTATGATACCTCTAAACAGCTGGGGAAGGTGAAACTAACTGAGTGGTAACCTCTGGTTCTGCAGCCGTCATTTCTCCTAGGAGCTCAAGGCTAGGAGCTAAATATCCCAGGAGAGCTCTGGAGGCTGGGAAACTAGAGAACTGGGTTGGGAGGTTGGGGTTAGGAAGAGGAGAGCCAGCAACTAGAGTTGGAAGAGCTAGTGAGTGGTGCCCAGTTGTGTCCTATTCAAGTATGTGAGGGATCCGGAGACTGGCTTGAAGATGCTTGCTTGGTCCGTGGTAGGAGAAAAAGGCAAGGAAAATGGGGAAGCTTTCTCAGCATTTATAACCTTTTTTCCATCTCTTGTTTCGGTTTAGGTCACCCCAGGATGCAATGGCGCAGCCCCCCCGGCTGAGCCGCTCTGGTGCCCCCTCTCTCTGGGACCCAGCTTCCCCTGCTCCCACCTCAGGCCCCAGGCCTCGACTTTGGGAGGGTCAAGATGTGCTGGCTAGATGGACTGATGGGCTGCTATATTTGGGCACCATCAAGAAGGTAAGACCTTTAATCTCTGACCTCTCACCTTTTCTCTATTCCCTTTATGTGTTTCCTATTTCATCTTTTGTGCTCACCCATTCCAGGTGGACAGTGCTCGAGAGGTGTGTCTGGTCCAGTTTGAGGATGATTCCCAGTTTCTGGTTCTTTGGAAAGACATTAGCCCTGGTGAGACCCTAAAAACCTAAGATTGTGCATCCAATGGAAAATAGAAACTTGGCTTGGTGGGCACAACAGGACTTGAGGGCTGGCCTCCTGACATTATGTTCCCTCACAGCTGCTCTCCCTGGGGAGGAACTCCTCTGTTGTGTCTGCCGCTCTGAGACTGTGGTCCCTGGGAACCGGCTGGTCAGCTGTGAGAAGTGTCGCCACGGTGAGAGGACAGACCACCTTAATGGTCCAATTTGCCCTGCACCTTCTAGATTGCCACCAGCCCTTTCCTCTAGCACTGGTGCTTATGTCCCCTGTCCTGGTTTAAGTTCCCAGGCCACCACTCTGGCCAGTCTCAACCCTGTAACCTCATCCCCTTCCAGCACTGGGAGAGGTAGCCAGAGAGAGGATGCTATGAAGTTCTGTAGGCAGAGGGTAGCTCACATCCTTTTTTTTGGTCATATGACCTTGGGCAAGACCCCAAACATCTAGGAGCATTAGTTGTCTCATTTATAAAATGAGAATAATATACCCACCCCAGATTATTCTGTCTCCATACCAACCACACACAGGCATTCAATACAATAACAACAATAAACGTTGTCGTTTTTCAGCTTATCACCAGGACTGCCACATTCCCAGGGCCCCAGCCCCTGGAGAAGGAGAGGGCGCTTCCTGGGTCTGCCGCCAGTGTGTCTTTGCAATTGCCACCAAGGTAATGGCATCTCTTTGTTGCCCCTTACTGTGGGAGCTTCCCACCTACAGCCTCTCCTAAGCCTTTCATCTCCTACCCTTCTGAGGCCTCCTACCTGTTCTTTCTCTGCAGCGGGGGGGTGCACTGAAGAAGGGTCCCTATGCCCGGGCCATGCTGGGTATGAAGCTGTCTCTGCCATATGGACTAAAGGGGCTGGACTGGGACGCTGGACATCTGAGCAACCGACAGCAAAGCTACTGTTACTGTGGTGGCCCTGGGGAGTGAGTAATGAGGGGTGACAGGTTATGGAATGATTGATATGGTTGGTAGATTGTGAGAAATGAAAGAACAGGGTGAAGGAAACACTGCAGGGGAGGGGAAGTAAGTGACAAGGAGAGTTTGGGGCAGTTAAACAGGTACAGGAAGTATTTGGAGGCCACAGTTCTGTTCCCCAACAGGTGGAATCTGAAAATGCTGCAGTGCCGGAGCTGCCTGCAGTGGTTCCATGAGGCCTGCACCCAGTGTCTGAGCAAACCCCTCCTCTATGGGGACAGGTGAGGCCAGCACAGACTCTCCAAGAGCCTAGGACCCCCTCTGGCTCTGCTCCACCCTGTTCCCCCACACCCTCTGCATTCCAGGCTTTTTTCTATTGCAACCTTTCCTTACCTGCTTACCTCTCTCTTGCTTGGGAGTTTTGCATTGTCTGTATGAAATTTACCTAAATAAGGTGTGTGTTCTCCCTCTTGCTGACATCCAGGTTCTATGAGTTTGAATGCTGTGTGTGCAGGGGGGGCCCTGAGAAGGTCCGGAGGCTACAGCTTCGCTGGTAAGCTGGACTGGGCATGTCCTCAGCATAACTCCTTCCTCAACACCCCCAGTTCTTCACCCTACATGCCCTCAACCACTTACCTCAGAACTCCCCTAACTTGTGTAATTATTTCATGGCCTTAACAACTGGATGTTTCTCTAGGGTGGATGTGGCCCATCTTGTTCTCTATCACCTCAGTGTTTGCTGTAAGAAGAAATACTTTGATTTTGACCGTGAGATCCTCCCTTTCACCTCTGAGAACTGGGACAGTCTGCTCCTGGGGGAGGTAGGAAATAGTGGAATTTGGGGGATTGGGGTGGGACAGAGAATAAAGAGAAAGGGGGAATCACTGCTCTCCTAACCTTTTTCTTTCTCTTCCCCCAGCTTTCAGATACCCCCAAAGGAGAACGTTCTTCCAAGCTTCTCTCTGCTCTTAACAGCCACAAGGACCGGTGAGTTAGAAGGAGCAGGGAGGCCCAGAGAGATGAAGATCTGGATGTCTGGGAGGGGAAAGGCTGCAAGCACCTGGGGACCATCTCTGAAAGGGACTAAAGAATAGTATGGGGGAATCTTGCAGCACAACCTCATACCATTTCTCTCCTCGCCCCAGTTTCATTTCAGGAAGGGAGATTAAGAAGAGGAAATGTTTGTTTGGTCTCCATGCTCGGACTCCTCCTCCTGTGGAGCCCCCTGCTGGAGATGGAGCCCCCACCAGGTCACTGGTCCAGGGAGGATGGGGGAAATTCTCAGGAATTAGTCTAGGGGGGTACATGTATAAAGTTGGGGAGGTCTTTGGGGGTGTCCGGGAGGGGGCTGGGGGGATAAGGAGGCCTCTTACAGCTTCCCTTCAGGGCAGGGCCCTGGGGGAGGGGTCTCACGTCCCCTGGGGAAGCGCCGGAGGCCGGAGCCGGAGCCCCTGAGGAGGAGGCAGAAGGGAAAAGTGGAGGAGCTGGGGCCACCCTCAGCAGTGCACAATCAGCCCGAGTCCCAGGAGCAGAGGGAGCGGGCTCGTCTGCAGAGGGCACTGCAGGTACAGGGGCATGGGAAACCCCATGGGTCAAAAGATGGGGTGTGGGAAGGAATCAAAGATTCTCTCTCAGTCCTCTGCCCCTTCTTGTAGGCCTCAGTGTCTCCACCACCCCCCAGCCCTAACCAGAGTTACCAGGGCAGCAGCGGCTACAACTTCCGGCCCACCGATGCCCGCTGCTTGCCCAGGTTAGTGCTCCTCTGCCCCCCAACCAGATATGCTCCCAGTTCTTTACATCCTCCAGACTTGTCACTTAGAATTCTTTCCCTTCTCCCTTGGTTACTCACTACTTGTCCTAGTGAGATGTCTAGAACCAATGTCTGGTACCCAATATTATTCTGGGGATGGGGGTATTCTGGGAGTAGTGTTTAAAGTCTATTTCCCTGGAGGGAAAAGATCTTGTTTCCTTGCTTCAGGTCTTGACTTTCTTCCTCTCCAACCCCAGCAGCCCCATCCGGATGTTCGCTTCCTTTCACCCTTCTGCCAGCACCGCAGGGACCTCTGGGGACAGTGAACCCCCAGACAGGTAAGATTCTATCCCTTATTACCAGCGATACCCCTTCCCCTCTGTGGTCACAGGTCTTTTATTCTCAAACCATTTCTTTGCTCCTCTGATCCACAAGTGGCCCCCATTTCTGGTGAGTCTTTGTCTACACCTGTCTGTCTCAACTTAGAATTACATTCTCTCCCTAGGTCACCCCTGGAACTTCATATTGGCTTCCCCACAGACATCCCTAAAAGTGCTCCCCACTCAATGACTGCCTCATCTTCCTCAGTCTCAGCCCCCTCCCCAGGTCTTCCTAGACGCTCAGCACCCCCTTCTCCCCTGTGCCGTAGTTTGTCTCCTGGGACTGGGGGAGGAGTCCGAGGTGGGGTTGGCTACCTGTCTCGAGGGGACCCTGTCCGGGTCCTTGCTCGGAGAGTACGGCCTGATGGCTCTGTGCAGTACCTGGTTGAGTGGGGAGGAGGGGGCATCTTCTGAACAGACTGCCTCTGCCCATCTCCCCATTCACACACACGGCACTTTCGTACCCTGACCTCACCTACAGCTGGGATGTACCTGGAGAGATAGGGGGTAGTTCTCCCTATTGGCCAGGCTGGAATCCAGGAGATGGGTGGGGAAGAGGCTCTCTCTTCTCTACCCCCTTCAAGATTCCTGACCCCTCATCTTCTTCCCATTTCCTTTGATGTTATTTTGTTACAGCTTTTTAAATATTTTTTAAAATTATTTAACCCCTGGGTGCAGAGACTGAAGAGGGAGGGATAAGGGATTCCGGACTCTGTATGATTGAAATAAAGAGAAATAAACAAACCTAGTGGTTATGAGTCATGTCTGAAAGATGGACAGAATACAGAGACCTACACTTCTGACTTTCCCTAACCAAATGTGCATATGTGACAAGAAATTAAGGCAAAAGGCAATAAGAACCAGACAGGATTTATTAGGGGCCCAGTCATCATCATCACGTGGAAGTCAAGAGTGTTATTTTTTTTTTAATTAAAGAATCATGGCAGACCCCAATGATACAAATGTATGAATTGCCAAGATCATTGTAATGTCATGTGTAGATAATTAAAAAAAAAAAAAAAAAGAATCATGGCAGGAACAGGGCTCATCATGGTTGGACTGTGCTGGAGTCAGAAACTGACTCTGTGACCTGGCGCACCCAGTGAAGGTAGGGGGAGTTCCCCTGTTCCACAGGCAAGGCAATCACCTCAGCCACTTCATAAGGATGCACAGAACTGCAAAAATAGGGAAGGAGGATGATTACTCAAATATTTACCCTAAGAAGCCCACCCCTCAGACAACTGCAGACTGCTCAGCAATTCCCAATCCACAATACCACATCCTCTCCCCTATCTAAAAGTTCTTACCGAACAAAATCTGTCAAGGCTGGGACCAAGGAACTTTGGGTTTTAATCATCTAAGGGGCAAAGTAAAACACTGTTGAATCAAGACATCAGAGTGATCTCAGGTGAAAGAAATCAGAGGTCAAGGGAACTGGAGCAATTTGGGGTGGGGGATGTTTCTCACCATCAGCACTTCACTGTCTTCTTCCATCTCTCCCTTCCACTCATAGCTGAAGAAGTCAGAGAAAGAGAGGGAGAGAGAGTCTTGGGAATGAAAGACTTTCCCCTAGGAAAAGGCTCCCTGTCAGCCTCTAAAGTTAGATTAACCTTCCAATTCTTTTGACTCACATGGATGTAATCTGAGGGATGAGGTTGACGCAGGCTGCTAGGCGCTTCTCCACCAAAGCTCTGAAGGTGAAGAGAAAGCCCCATTCAGAGTGCCCCGGGAAAAGGACTTTTGTTCTGGCAGCCCAGAGATGGCTTCCAAAGATGGAGAGCAGGAAGAACCAACCTTCTCCTCCGCCCCCAATTCTCCCTTCATGACAATACTTTCTAGCTCTATACCAAGGTCCCCACCTGGCAATTTCCTTGGCGACCTTTTCGTTGGGGCAAGTGACAAAGGCTGCAGAAACCGATCCTGGAACATAGCTAGAGCCAGATGCCGTAGTGGGCTGGGACGGGGGGCTTCCAGAGGCCATGGTCAGCAGTGCTCGGGGTAGCAACAGAAGGCGGGAGGCCACAGGCAGCAACGCAGGCATCCAAAGACAAGACAGGAACAGAGCGGCCTGAGAACAGGGGGCGAATTCGGTCTCTTCCCCACAAATACCCCCGGAAATGGCACCCCAGAATGCTTTGGCTGGGATAGAGCCTCAGGCTCTGCCCTTCTTGTTCTGCACACTGAAGGAAAATGTCCCTGAAAATTAAGCCCAAGACTCAGTTTTCACTCACACCTCAGCGGGCCAACCCCTGGGATTTGGGGTGCGGGGGGTGGTCTAAACTTCGAAGACCGGAAGGGGAGAGGCGGGGCCAGGCACTCACCCCTCCGCCGAGTAGAGCTGCGGACGCTCGACCGCCCCGCATGCAGCCTATACTGATAAAGGAGGACTGATATCAAAGGCCACGCATTACACGGAGAAAGGACCCCAAACCCAAGAAGAGGGGCCTCTTCTTACCTGGGTGGCAGCCACGTGATAAGAAAACAGCGCACCCCACGTGACAGTAGAAGCTAGGGGGCCGGGAGTTTCCAGAATCAGCCAATCCTGGCCCTCACGTGGCGCGGATTGCCCCGCCTCCTGATTAGGGAGGAGCGAAGGGGATTTGGCCAATGGACAGCTGGATCCGCAGAAGTGCGCGTAAATGGCACGCCCGTTTCCGTGAAACCCAAACCCGCCAGTGGCTGGCGGAGGAGAGCCTCTGCGGCGTTCCACTGTCACGTGAGGGGGCGGGTCCGCTCGAGCGGTTCTACCTCCCGGAATAATGCGAAGATGCCAATCGCGAGCCAGTCCCACAGGCCACGTGATGAGAAAGCTAGAACCAGGGGGGTCGGAGACCCCGCAGACTCTATGCGTCAGGCGGTGAAGTCCTTATACCCCAGAATGTGCCTAGTAACAGCCCCAGCACTATTTCAGAGGCCTTAAGGAGTGGGAGGGTCTGAGAAGACTGAATCTCAGGGGTGAAGAGAGCGCCCCCTGTTCAATTAGGATTGAGCTGTGCCTGGGTTGATGAATGAACAACTATGATCTGAGGAGATGCCAGCTGTCCCTGGGTAGGGGGCAGTGATTAGGCAGGCGAAGGCATGGCATGACAGTGGCTAGGTGAGGAGAGATGCATTTTAATCGGACAGAGGTGAGACCCTGTCAGTGGGATATAGGATAATGGGAAGAGCTTAAGGGCACTCTTAACTGAAAACCCAAAGCTTGAGGTAGACTGGTGAATCAGAGTTGAGGGTTGCAGGTTAGGGAGAGTAGCGATGGTCCTTCTGTCCCCTCTCCTCTGCAGGATTGGTCCACCTCTGAGCCTTGGGTCTCCTTTCCTTAACCCATCCCCCAAGGAGCCAGGACCTGCCCTACATAACCTCCCTGGGGCCCAAGCACATTCAGTGACCCAAAAATCGAGGGGCCAATAAGAGGCCAGAGAAGTGGGAGGAGACAACAGACAAAAAGACTCTGCTACCCAATAGTCCCCCTCCCTCTGGGGTCACTGATATGGTGGGCGTGACTGTGACTGGGAGTTTCCCAAGCTGAGGTCAGAGTTCTCTCATATTTACCTCCCTGGAGTTGGGGGTCTCCTGTGATCTCTGGATTTGGGGCTTATCTCAGATCTCTGAGGGATTTTCCAATATTTGTGTTGGAATATTTCTCAGGACTGAGTTTCTTTTATGTTGTTTAGGGAGCTTCTGTGTTTCAGGATCCAGTGGTCACTCTCCCTGAGGTTTTTCAAATTATTATGAGTTTTCAGTCTCTAAATTCCGGGTCTGGGCTAGCTAAGTGTCTCTTTCTCTGTCTCCCACTAAAACTGGAATTTCTCTCAGAGTTAAACAGTCTCTGAGTCTGGTTCCCCCACCCTCCCTTGGGATCTGAGTTTGGGGTCTCAGATCTCTCGCTGGGCCTGAGTTCTGAGACCTAATTCTAGGTCTGGGTCTTTCTAATCTGGGTTTCATCTTTTTCTTGAGTCTAGGTCTCAGGTTTTAGTCTCTAAAATCACTATCACAGGGCCCGAAATCTAAGATTTCTGTGGCTGTGAAGAACCTTTTGAGAGTGGATCCTTAAGATCTTGATCTTTGACTCCCCTCTGACGGGTCTGGGGTCTTTTTTCCCCCCCTCCTATATCAGGGATCTCCTTCCCTTTAGATTTGGGGTCTGTGTCTCAAATTAACCTGCCTGTGGTTGGGAATGAATTATATCTCTCTGAGTCTGGGGTCTGTGAATCTCAGGGTCTGGGGTCTGCATCTTCATGACTGTTTGCTCTCATGTGTGTTTGAGGCAGGGGTCTTTTTCACTCTCTTTCGCTCCCTGGGTCTCCCTGGGTAGGGATGGGGGCTGCAGTCTCTCCCTCCTCCTCCTCCTCCTCCTGCTCTCTTCTCTCGCTCGCTTCCCCCGCCCCCCTCTCTCTCTCTCCCTCTCTCTCTCTGCTGCCGCTGCTGCCGTTGGCTCTTATTCTCCTCCTCCTCCTCCTCTCTCCTCCTCTCTGCTCCTCTCTGCTCCTCTCTCCTCCTCTCTCCTCCTCCTCCTCCTCCACCTCCTCCTCCTTCTCCCCCTCTCTCTCCCCCTCTTTCTCTCTTCTCTTTCTCCCCCGTCCCCCGCCCCCTCCCCCCAGGCCTGATGAGCAGGTCTCGCGCCTCCATCCATCGGGGGAGCATCCCCGCGATGTCCTATGCCCCCTTCAGAGGTACGGTGGTGGGGGAGGGGGAGGGCCAGATGGGGGGGCAAGAGGGGGAGGGGCAGGGGGCGGGGGAGAGCCAGGGCTAGGGAAGGGAGGGAGCGGCTGAAATGGAGGGAGAGGAGGACCGGGAAGGCTGGGGTGGGAGCCATGGGGAAGGAGAGACTGGTAGCTAGAGGGATAGGGGTAGGTAAGGAACGGAGGGGCTAGGAAACAGGCCTTGAAGGGTGCTTAGAGAAAAACGAAGGGGAAAGAGAGCGCCAGAAAGGGGTGGAAAGGTAGGAGGATAGGGTTGGGGGAAGAGCTACAGAAATAATTTGGCGGTGGGAGCTGAGGGATGGGGAAAACATCAAGGAAATAGAGGCACAGAGTCTTAGGAGAGAAAATGAGAAGGAGAAATGAAAACATAGGGGTGAAAAGAGAAGCCAAGATTATGAGGGGAGAATACCGTGGGGGGCTTAGAATGGTAGGGGTTATAAAATGAAGAGGATGAAAGGAAAGAAGAGGCCAGATGGAGAGAGAGGGAGGCAGTGGGGGGGGGGGATGGAGGGTCCAGATGGAGGGAAGAGAGGAGAGAGGGAAAGGATTGGGGGAGGGGAGGCCAGGGTAGGGGAAGGGCCAAATTATGTGTATATTTTTGGGGGGCAGATACAAGGAAGATTGAGTGATGCAAGTTAGGGACTAGGTTAGGATCCTGCTCCCACTTTGACCCTCATTAAGTTCCTTAATAAGTAAAATGCAACCCTAGGGGTCTTATCTGTGCTCTTCATCTCACCACTTTTAACCCCCCCCCCCCCCCCATATCCTTATTTCCATTCCTCCTCCCTTCTTATGCTGTCCATCACTTATATCTTTCCCCCCATATGATGTCCGTTCCTTATATGAGTCCCCCTTCTGTCCTTCCCCCATATCAGTTCCCACTCTGATGTCCATTCTCTCTTGCATTTGTATCTGGTAGCCGCCTTATATCTATACCATGTCTCTTGAACTCCTTCTTGACCTCCATGTCTTAATCTCCCTATTAGGTCTTCCTTGTTTCTTCTGCCCCATGTGTGTTTGAGCCTTTTTGGTGTATTCCCCTGTCCCTAGGCATTTATCATCATCTTTTCCTCCTTATCTTTTAGATACTTCCTGTTATTTGTCCCTGGCCCATCTTCTTATTTCCAGTCCCACTCCCCATCTTGTCACCACAGTCTGTGCCTACTGACTTTCCCTTTGTACCCCAAGTTTTTATCAGCATTCCTCTTTTCTTGTCTTCTCTACTTTCTTGGGTATTGGATATTTGAGGTGCAAAGATAGAGAGGGTTTTGATGCTTATAACAGGGACTATAAAGGATCCTTATCTGAATTCTTACAGGATTTCTCATTCTGGTAAAATTTCCCTCTTTCTCAGCCATGTTCCTTTGCCTCCCAGATCATTTTCATTCTTGCTTAAGTTCCAGAGTCTGTATGCATGTTTGTCTGTTTCCAGAAGATAAATTCCCTATGTTTTTCCCTGCTTCCAGGACAAAGATACCCCCTGAAGTCAAACTTGCTTCCCTAAACTGCAGCTCAAACCACCTCTTCCCATTAGTTACATGTATCAACAGATTTTTCATCTGGGTGAACCAAGTGCCTGAGTGCAGTGGGCATGTTACCTGCAATGTCTGTGGTCTCAGATTGGGTATCAGTGATCATTGTATCTAGAGACTGTTGAGTCTCTGAGACGGCCTTGAGACAGTAAAAGTTTCAGAGCATTGCCGTTTATAGACATTTATGTTCTGGGGGGTTCATCTGATCTGCAGGTTGAGTAAATTTGACTGGTATATTTGTAGATAGACAGGGGCTGGACTTTTTCAAAACTCCTACTCAGGGCATTCTGTTGGAATGAAACTAAAAGATCAGTTCTGCTGCAATATGCCCATGTTAATTATCCCATAAATGGGACCGAATTTTATTTTTTCTGCTTCTAAACCCTTTCTTACTCTTGATACCTTAAGCCTAATTTCTGTTACTTTGCTGACACCAGTTTGACTTCTTACGTTCCTATAGGTCCTGTCCCCCTGTCCCCCTGTGATGGTGTGTGGCAATGGAATTTGAAGAAGAGGAATTTTGAAGGGGGGGGGGCATGGCAAGGATAGCAAAAATGGGGAAGAGAGACCCTGGGGCATGTCTGAGCATGGGCCACCCCTGATTTGCTGTTACTCTCTTCTGGTAGGTTTGTTCTCATCTCCAGCTCTTAACTTGGAGATTTCTATGTCACTGGATATTCCGTTTCTCCCCCCCCCCCCATACTCTTTTTGTTCTTTAAACTCCTCATTATGCCTCAGGAAGGCTCCTAACTTGTGGAGTTGGCTTTCATTCCATCCATGGGCAGTAGATGGGGAGGAGGAGATTGGTATTGAATCTTTAATGCCTGGACATGGACTGGGGAAAGACATCAATTTGGTCTATTCATCCAAAGGACATATTTCCCACCTTCTCCCACCCTGGCTCTTCCATAGCCAGATGATGACAAAAGCCATGTTCTCTCTTCCACCAGAAGAACCAGAACCTTCCCAAAGGATGATCAGGGTAGGACTAGGTGAAGGGGAAGAAGTGATGGGGGAGGAGGTCCTCTCAGGTCTCTCCATCAATAGGAAAGCCCTCCACTTCCTCTTTTCCAAATGTTTAGCTCTCAAAAGCTCATGACCCAAATGTTCTTATCCACATACTTCATCCTTCTTCCCCACAGCTGTGTATAGTTTTCTCCTTACTCTCTTACATACAAGTGCTTCTGTTCCCAGAGTTGCTCCTAAATTCTCTATGTTCTTCCCTGCTTCCAGGAGAAAGATACCCTCTGAAGTCAAACTTGCTTCCCAATACATTCATTCCACCTTCTAAGTCCATCTGATGAGTGCCCTCCCTTTTCTCAGACTCCTGTCACCAACCTGTTTTTCTTCTACCAGTTGCACTGCACCTCCACCTTTATATTTTTCCCAAGTGGATGAATAGTTCCTTTACCTTTCCCTGCCCGCAATTGTGTTCCTCTCTGTCGTAATATATTTCCCTCCCTGAAATCTTTCTGCAAGTCTTCATAGCCTCTTGTGATGTGATTCCTCTTTTTTTCCTCTAGATGTAAAAGCTTATTTTTTGTTCCTTTAAAGTTGCTAAGTACTACCCTCAACTATGATCTCCTCAAGGCGGGTGGGGTTCCTTTCTTCCACTTTGTGGAATTGCTTCTTGCCATTTAGGCCTGTGCTCCCAAATGCATAGAACATCCCTTACTGTTTCTGTGTGTCTCCATCCCCCAGATGTACGGGGACCCCCTATGCACCGAACCCAATACGTTCATTCCCCGTATGATCGTCCTGGTTGGAACCCTCGGTTCTGCATCATCTCGGGGAACCAGCTGCTCATGCTGGATGAGGACGAGGTGAGCAGGGTGAGGAGGTTGGGAAGAGACCACACTGGGTAACTTGGGAGAATGTGGACAGAACAATGGGAAGAGTCCTTTTAGTGAAGGGTAGACAAAAAGAAGGTAATGAGAAACATTTGCAGGCAGTAGCAAGAGGGTAGCATTGATATTTGGGTTGGGGTATGATAAAAAGGACATTCTCTCATCTTGGCCTGGGGGTCTTTTGAAAGTCATAGGCAGTTTTGGAGAGGAAATATAGCTCTAAAGATATGGGGGTGCCTTCTGTTTTTATCTTGTTCATATTGTGGGATAGGTTTGAATAGGGAGGAAAAACTGAAGGGCTTGGAGAAAGGGTGAAGAAATGGGAAGTCTCCCCTTCAAAGTAATCCTGAGGACCCCTTTCCTCTTCTCCAATGATCAAGACTCATCACTCACCAGTCCTTTCTCCTGAGCATAGTGTAGGAAGGGGAAATGAGGGATTCAGAAAAAAGGCAGAGGACAGTGGAAGGAACAGGAGGGTACTGGGAAAGATACAGATGTTACTAGTTCTTGGCTTGAATGGGGTGAGGACTGCAGGTGCCTGAGATTGGAGTTTAGAGAAACACTGAGGTTTGTTGGGACTGATTGAATATCAAGAAGGAATATAGTGGAGGAGATGTCTGTGGAGGAGGGGAACTGAGAGCATAGGAGTTACCTAAAGGTGTAGAGGCAAGGACTGGCCAGAGTGAAGGAGATGAAATAGACAGATGTATCTTATGGGAGGTGGTGGCCATATAAGATTTGAGAGCCAGGGTCATGTGGATTCCGATTTGGGAGAAGCAGCATTAGCAGCAGAGGGTCCCTCAGAGGAAGCAGGATACAAATATGAAGGGTGGATGCCCCATAGGTGTGATTTCAGCAGTTGAGGGTGTTTGGGGGACAAGCTTTAGAGTGATAGGGTAGGTAGCCTGGAAGGCTAAGAAGTGGTGAGAGATGTACCTGAAAGCTACTGGGGATGGTGTTGTGAGGCAAGGCTAGAATTGCAGTTAGGGCTAATCAGGGTGTGAAGGGTCCTGGGAGGCAGATGAGTGTGTGGAGATAGCTGTGTAGAGATTTTCCAGACCACAGAGTAAAGAATAGGTGTCTAGGAGAGGACATGGTGACTCTCTGGAGGAGTCTTAGGTTTTAGACATTGCAAGGCATTTGAGTGATTCACTAGTGGTCATCAGCCTTGACCAGGGATTTGGAGACTAGGAAAACTAGAACCAATAGGAATAGGGACTGGTGAAAGGATAAAGAGGGAGGACAGTGGGTGGAGCAGTGAGGGAAGGACAGAAATGGGGACTGACTGAGAGGACCAGTGACCAGGCAGCTGAGGGGCAACAGGAATGGCTAGAGTTTGGGGTAGGAAGGTGATAGGAGAAGAAGCTGGGAAGAAGTAGATAGAACTAGGATAATGAACAGTTCGACTTGGAACTGGATGGGTTGTGAGATTGACGCTGGGGTTGGTGGGGGTGGGCTCTGGATCTTGTGAGTCCTGGTAGGACTGGAGGGTTGGACATATTTGCCCAGGGGATCTGGAGGTGAGGCTTAGGGAAAGGTAATGACTAAGGGAACAAGGGAACTAAGAGATGGGGGTTGGGGGGTTGGGGGTGGAAGTAGATGAAAGGTGGGGGGAGGTGACCAGGCCCTCTGGGGGGAGGGGAGGTTGGGTCCCAGTCTGGCCGCAAGCCTGGCCGTGGGAGGGAGACAAGCTGTGGATCCTGATTATAAATGCAGCTTCTGCTACCCCCGTGACAGGCTCGGAGGGAGAGAAGGGGTAAGGGAGGTGGGAGGTTGGGAAAAAAGAAGGGAGAATGGACGAACTGAAGGTCAAGGGGAAACTGGGTTCAGGAGGTAGCTAACTCCTGAGGAGTTGAAGGAAGATCTGAGAAGGGCTTGGGAGAATTCTCTGAGGGGTGCTGCGAGATAAATGCAGGGAGCAAAGAAAAGGGTGAAAACGGGAAGATATAAGAGGGAGAGAAAGGGACCGGGGAGATGGGAAAGAAAACCCCAAGCCACCTGGCGAGAGTGGGCAGGGGCAGGGGCGGAAGGTGGCAGGCGGAATGGAAAGGGGCCCAGCCTTCCGTGGAGGAGGCGGGAGAGGAGGGACGGCGCGGGCCAGTGAGGTCTGACACACCCCCGCATCCCCTAGATACACCCCCTCCTGATCCGGGACCGGAGGAGCGAGTCCAGCCGCAACAAACTGCTGAGACGCACAGTCTCCGTGCCGGTGGAGGGGCGGCCCCACGGCGAGCATGGTACGGCGGCCGAGCAGGCTCGCGTGCCCCGGACAGTCGCGGGGACAGGGCTGGAGGTGGTCGGGCTGGCGGCGCGGGGGCGTCGGGCACAGGGGGCGCTGGCAAGGGGCGGGAGGAGGCGGAGACCGAGTCTCGCAACTCTAGAGGAGACGGCGCCCTCGTCTGGGCTGTGGAGCGGGACAGAGGCTGTGGGTGAGAAACCCCAGCGCGTCCTTGCTCTGCTTCGCTCCCTTTTTCCTCTCCAGCAGCGAAGTTTGACTGTTTTCCCGGTGCTTTTAAAAATAGTCTCTTTAGATCTTTAGCTTCCTGTCCGAGTGTACCTGTCCCTGCCCCTCCCAGCCCTTGGTCTGGGATCTTGGAGAGATTGACCTAGTTCCCGCCCTCCCCCCAGACCTCTGTCCCACCCCCTGCTCCGGATTCTTCTTCTAGATCTGCAGGTCTGTGGCCCATTCCTCTTTCTTGCCCCCTTTTTTCTCTTTTCACCAACTGCTCTATTTTCTGCAACTGTATCGCCCCCCTTTTCCTCCCTATTTCTCTTTATTTTCTGTACCCCTCTTGACTCCCCAGTCTCTCCCCTCTGCTCCCAGTGGAAATTCATTAGACCCTCCTTTCTCATCTCTTTCTGTCTGTAGAGATATCTGCTCAGTCTGTCTCTCCAATTCTCTCCCTCTCTCCATCTGTCTCTTCCCCTCCCTCCCCCTTTCTGCCCCCCACCCCCCCTTTAGTCATTTAAAAAAAGATTTTTGTCTTCCTGAGAAGTTCGCTTAAAAGGTTTCCATGGGAACAGTGAGGGGATATGAAGGCAGAGAACAGAGATCTGCAGCCAAGGTGCAGAGAGACGCCCTCAGTCCCCGGAAACCCCCTCGCCACTGCCCCCTTCCTCTGTATTTCCCTCCCAGGACTTGGGATCCAGATCCCCCATCCCTCCAACCTTCAGATGATCTATTTCTCCTACCAAATCCCCCACCCCTCAGACATCCAGGGTTTCAGTTTCTTCTTTAGAGAGCCAGTGGCCTTTCCACATCCTTTGGCTCCCTCCAGCCACCTTGTGATAGGTCCAGACCTCTCTACCCTTGGGGGCCTGTTCTGGGACCCTGAGTGGATGGTCAGGGATGTGTGTCATTGTTATGGAAACCTCCGACCAGGGGTCTGTGTAGGTAGCTCATCTCTGAGGCAAATCCAGGTGGTGGTTGTGAAATGTGTACAGAGAATATGTGTGATGTCTTTCATATTTGTGTCTATGTGTATGTAATGTCCATATCTGGTGCATGTGTTTCTCTGCATGTGTGTGTGTATACCTTTGTGCCCAGGCCAGAATGGTCACATGCTCACAGAGCATGTTTATCAAATGTCCTGTGGTTGGCTGCTCTGCCCACATATTCTCCATCTTTCTCCTTACCCTGAGTCCTCAGAATCTGGGGGTCTCTGGCATGGGTCTTGGGTGGAGGCACCATGTGTGTTTGAAGTTGGGGTAGTATGTGGAGGTTGCTGTATGGGACTGGGAGGGGCTCCAGGGCTATAAATATATTTGGGGAGAGGGTTTAGTCAAAGTTTGATAGCTGGTGACTGGGGTCTTCAGAGGGACATGGAATGTGTAGAGAACATGGAGAATGTGTAGGAGACATCAGGGTCGTTGAAGTCTTGGGGCTTAGATCTGCGAAGGTGTTTGCTGAGGCTGTGGACTCTTCAGCCCGAGAGAGGTCGCCGGACCTTTGAGGGGCATTGGAATCTAGGGCTCCTCCTCTGCTGGGTGGAGCCGCGAGCCCTCCTTTCCTCCGCGATTTTGTTTTGGGGGAGGGGGTCCTGCTCAAGAGGGGATGGTGGAAGACCCGGTTGGTTTGGGGGGTCCCCTTACCCCCCTCCCCCGTCTCTCTCGCGCTGTCTCCGGGCGACGGGGCTCGTGACAGAGGCGGCCACGGCAGCAGCGGTCGCCTAGCAACGGCGGCGGGGCCCGGGCAACGGCGGCAGCGGCGGGAGCGGCGGCGGAGGGAGCCGTTCCCGCGGCCGTCACCGCGCGGCCGCCCGGGCCGTCCCGGGCCCCGCCGCCGCCCCCACCGCGCCGGGCGGCGCAAGCCGGGCCGCACCGCCCCCTCTCCCCCCTCCGCACCCCACCCCTCCCCCGCGCAGGGGCGGGGCCCTTCCCCCACCGGGGACACCCCCGAGCCCCCCCGGGGGGAGGTGCGAGGTAAGGGCGGGGCCGGGCGGACGAGGAACGCGCGTGGGGGGGCCGCGCGCGCGTGGGGCGGGGGCGCGCGTGTGCGTGGGCGCAGGGAGGGGGGTGGGGAAGCCGCGGCGGCGGCGGCGGCGGCGGCAGCTGCTCCCTCCGCATGTTCTCGCTGCATCTTCCGAGTGGGGGGAGTTATGGTAACTGGAGGGGGGGGGTGCAGTGGAGGTCGGGTGGTCGGGACGGCCTCTTGGGGACACGGTTACAAGCTCGCGGGGGCGGCTGGTCAGGGGGGTCTTGAAGCCCCTGCTAGAGGGGCAGCCTGTGGGTTTGCGTGTGTGTTCATGTCTTTGCTCATGTCCCCTGTGTGTGGGTGCCATGTGCACAAGGGGCCCAATTCCTCGTGCACACATGTGCAGCCAGCCATGTGCAAAGCGTGTCCTGTCTTATGCTGCTTCTTCCTGCCTAGGGGTCTGTTGGGCCAGCCACTATCTTAGTGGGGCAATCCATGGCCATACTGATTCATGTCACCCCTGACCCTGAGCTTGCATGTCTATGGTTGGGGCTCACTTCTCATCAGTCTCCTGTGTGTAGGAATGTGTGACTGGATGCATGAACAGAATTTTCTGTGTCCCTGGTGGCAGGTGTATGTCTTTGCATGTGTGTTCTAGCTTTGGCCTGAGTATCTGTGTCAATCCCAGGACTGGTGTCCAGGGCGTGTCTGGATGTGGGTGATGTGTGAGTGGAGAGGGGAGAAAGTGTGTGTGTGCTCCTTGGAATCCTACTGTGTATGAAACACCTTTGGACTAGGCAGGTGTGAGCCCCTGCCTGGTCCGGAGTGGGAATAGAAAGGCTCAAAAGGGAAGGAGTGAGATAAAGAGGAAAAGTGGGGAGAAAAAGGGAGAGGAGCAATGAGAAAGGTTTCAAGAGAGGGGAGAGTATGCCAGGGAGAAGAGAGAGCTGGAGAATGGGAACATGGAAGAGAACTCGCCAGACTTCAAAAAGGGAAGAGTGGTAGGCTTAAGATGGGGAACTGGATGGAGATGGTGGGAGAAGGGACCTCAGAGATAGGGAGCAGGGACAGGAGAGAGGCCTTTTGATAAAGTAATCTGTGAAAGAAGGGAGGGGAGATTGGAAAGGGCACTGGATTCAGGCAGGCCCTGTAGGATCAGATTTGGTTGGATCAGGTGAGGGCACATAAGTATAGAGGGTGGCTCACAGAGAGGCCTGTCATGGCAGGGACTGTTTTTAGAGGTTCATGTTCCCAGTGCAGAGCACTGTCCTCTATTTCTCTGCTCTCTATCCAACGCTATTCCTCATCCTGCTGTGGCAATGTTTCTGCCTAGGCTCCCCTTGAAAGCGGCCAGCTGAGTGTGGAGAAAAAGGCCAAAGGGAAAGTTAGGGTTTTGGGGGATTGGAGGGCAGGGACAAATTCTGTGGGTGGTGGCAAGATTAGAGACATTGGAGAAGCAGGAACCTAAGCCCTTGTTCTGTGTGTGTGCAATTGTGTGTATACAGGGTGTGTACATGTGTGGGTGTGTGCACAATGCCTATGTTACGGGTCTGTGTAGGTGGCTGTGATGTGTGTGCATGCGTGTATACATCGTGCAGGGGATGGGACGTGGAGACCCAGCAACTCAGTGTATGCTTTTCAGGTTTGCTCTGTGAATGTGTAAGACTGTGTTCTGTGTTCTCTGTACATGTTGCTGCATATAGCACTAATAACAGGATGTCCTGTGTTTCTGTCACTCTGCCTGCCTTTCCTCTGTGTTTCTCTTATTCTTTTCTTTGCAGTAATGAGAGTGTTTGTAAGCATGTGTCTATGTGGCCTTCATGTACCTGTGACTTAAGTGTGAGTTCATAGGTTTTAGCTCCTGGTGATATGTATAAGGTTATATTATCTCCAAGAATCAAGCAAACCAGGTACCAAATTCTTTTTTCTTCTGGTAATGCTTTAGTTCCAAAGCAGAATTTTAGTGGATTCAAAGTTAGACTTTATGCCTTTATTAGAGGAGCTCGTATGTAAAAATAATGGCTGAGCTAGGTTCCCTGAAATGAAAATGGGGCAGCTCTACCTTGAAAAGCAGAGAAATGTGACTAGGAGGAAGATATTTGGCCCTGGGATGTACTGTGTAGTGTATAACAGAAAGATAATGCATTTGCTCCTTGGTAGCAATCATGGATGCCGGTGTTGGAGGCAGGGAAGAACTGGGGAAGGAGAAGGAGGTTGTCCTGAGACAGAGTGGATGTGATTGCGCTTTTCATGTGAATGAAGGATTTTGTCCTTTGGGAATATGGGGGAAACCTTTATGTGGTTGGGATCATAGTGTATGTATTGTACAGGGATGGAATATGGTGTATTCAAGTATGTGTCCCAGGGGTTAAACTGGTATTCTCCTATGTGGGGGACATGTGTATGTCTTCAGGTTCATGTCCATTTCTGTAATGTGCGCTTGCATGATTGCCCAGAAGACTCAGGCCACAAAACCCACATTAGTGGCTCACATGTGAGTGTTTTGGTTCAAGTATGTACACCACTGTTGCAGTGTTCACACATGTGTAAGCATGTAGGGTGTGTGGGCCTCAAAGTCTGAGAATATGGACCTGTGCTCACAGCTGTCTGTATGTCTCATAAGCACATAGATCCTTATTTATTTTTGTATTGTGGTTCTGATATACACATACCCCCACAGCTCAGTGTATGTTTCTGTGTTCTACACGTGTTCCTGAGGGACTGATAGGGTCCTTGTATGATGGGATCCAGATTTTGTGTGCAAACCTCTAATGCTTGGGTTTTACAGGTAAAGGGAAGCTAGGGACTGATTCTAGGGCAACTTGGGGGCAATTTGCACTTCTGGAAGCAGACAGTGGAAATGTAGTATGGCCCTCTCTTGTTTTGTTCCGGAACCTTGAGGGTTAACAGGCAGCTCTTCCGGTCCACCTCCCCTCCAGCCTGTAGCTTCTTGTTGCCGTGGAGATGGTGGCCCCGCCCCTGATGCAGCACCTGCCCCCCCATTGGTTGCAGTGGTGACTGTGGGGCTGAGGGGGGAGCCCAGGCCTGGGCAGCCATTCTGGAGCTGAAGCCGGAGCTTGGCATCCCCCCCCACTTTCATTCTCCTCCAGCCCCTTGGCCCCTCTAAATTCCCTGGCAGCAGAGCCTCAGCTTCCCTCTTTGGATCTGCCATCCCTCTAGGCTCTTGGCAGGCTGAGCTTCATCCGCATTCACCTCCCCTCCTCCTCCTCTCCTAAACCTTAGATGGGAGTCCCCAGCACCCCCTAATCCTCCCCACTCCCTGCCCACTCCCCTGCATTCTTTTCTTTTCTTCTTCCCCCTTCCCTTCTAAGTCCCTGCCACTGCAGTGCACGTGGAACCGGCTCCTTTCTCCCCACCCCCCCATCTGCTTCTTAGATTTTCTCTCTCCAGCTTCTCCCCCAGCCACTCCTCACAGGTCCCAAGACTTCCCCCTCCGTCTAGGGAGGGGGTCATGGGAGGCAGCCCTGGCCCTCCAGACCAACAGGGGTCTGGGAGGTGCAGGGCAGGTAGAAGATGTCCCCAGAGAGAAGGGGAAAGCCAGCCTATGGGCAATGACCTTTAACCCATCTTTCCCCCCCAGCTAGCCCCTTCTGGGGGGGGGGGGTGGGCACCAGGACTTAGCCTCCCTGGATCTTCTATGTCCTTCATTACTGGGGTTTTACTGACCCCCTTGACCATGCGCCCCTGCTGACTGCCAACACTAGTCATGGGCTTAAGGCCTCCCACTCCGTCCCCCTCTGGGGGCTCTGGCTCGGGTTCCTTGCCCCCTCCTTCCCACCGCCAGCCTCTCCGCCGCCGCTGCTCTTCCTGCTGTTTTCCGGGGGGTAGGTGAGGCCGGAGCTGAGGGGCAGAGGGAGGTGGGAGAATGCAGTGGGGTCAGGGGTGGAAACCTGGGTTAACAAGCCCCTTCCCCAACTTCCCTTGGGGCCCTTTCCTCTCCTCCAGAATACCACTTGGGTCGCTCGAGGAGGAAGAGTGTCCCAGGGGGGAAGCAGTACAGCATGGAGGCCGCCCCCGCTGCGCCCTTCCGGCCCTCGGTGAGTGAATGGAAGCCAGCGCTTGCCAGATGTGGCTCAGCTGGGTCCCTCCCCTCCAGCCCCAGCTGGAGCCCTAGGATTCTGAGAAAGGGGACTGGAGGGAGAAAGATTTTGTGTGTATGTGTGTCCCCACCTCTTTGGTCTCCCTCTTCTTGGCTCTGCCCCCTGCTTCTTGGACTAGCCCTCCCACCTATTCCAAGCTAGTGTGTGTGTGTGTGTGTATTTCCCTCACTGTGCCCAAGGGAGCAAGGAAGACAAGCTGGTATCAGGGCTCCTGTTCCCTTTCCCACCTCTAGGGACTTTTCTCCCATCCCACCTTATTTTAGGGACTCTATACCAGCTGAGGGGTAAGTAGGTAGGACTGACCCTGCCCCAACCCACCCCTATCCCAATTTCCTCCCCCCAGCAAGGCTTCCTGAGCCGGAGGCTTAAAAGCTCCATCAAGCGTACGAAGTCACAGCCCAAACTTGACCGGACCAGCAGCTTTCGCCAGATCCTGCCTCGCTTCCGAAGTGCTGACCATGACCGGTACAGGGGAGGGAGCATGCGGGTTGAGATATGTGCAATATAGGGGACCTCTAGCGGTATGGGAAGGGAGGGGGTTATCCGAGGGCAAAGGTTGAAGGGCTCATGTTGATTGAGGGGTGTTATGGTGCAAGGAGAAAACAGAAAAGAGCTAGGACATGGCTGCAGGCGGCAGGAGAAGGGTGGGACATACGGAGAGGACAGGCAGGCAAGGAGGCGAAGGTAATGCCAAGGAGGGCATCTTCAGCCTGACAGAGGGTGGGCTCAGTCCAGGATCAGAGGAGCTGTACAGAAGGACAGAGAAGAGCCACACAGCCTGCCCATAAGGAACTCTGAATCCTAGGAAGTGGGCTCACTGGTTGGTGGAGGGGCAGCAGTGAGAGCTAGGTGGAACTGCCTGAGGGAAGGGCAGGAGGGGCAGGAGCAGCAGGTTGGAGTAGTGCTTGGGGTGACTGATGTTAACGGGTACAAGGTGGAGCTCATCGTGAGGGAAGGAACAGTGTAGAGTATTACAGAAAAAGGCAAGACCAGCACCAGTGTGCAGGGTGACATAATAGGGATCAGGGGCTGCAGGGTTAATTCATAGACTGAACCATGAAGAAGAAGCCCTCAGAGAAGTCCAGAGGGCACTGTCCTGAGGCAGGACTGAAGGAGACCTTTTGGTGGTTGTCTCTGTTGTTTGCTTCTTGGGGTCCCTCTCTGGGTATCCCTTTTACCCAGTCATCCCTGCAGAACCCTGTCCTCCCTTTCCCCTCTGTCTGGCCACCCCCGGAATTGGGCAGGTAGGGAGGTTGGGGTAAGGTGAGTCAAACCTTTCCCTGCCCCCTTCCCATGTCACCAGAGCTGGATTTGGGGCCGGCAGGGGGTGAGGGCATGGTATTCCTGGCCGCGGGGGCGGGGGGCCGGGGGAGCATGGCGCGCTGACGGCAGCCAGAGCCTGTGATGACGGGGCTGCTATAAATAACTTCATGGAGGCTCCCACACCCGAGCTCCCCCTCCCGCTTCCCTACTGCTCTCTACTCTTTATCCCCTACCCATCTCCATGCTGCTCGCCATCCTGTCCCTCTTCATTCCGTGCCCCTAGCCCCCTTTTTCTTTTTCTTCCCCACAGTGATTTTTGCCTTTCAGCCCCATCGCTTTTCCTGCGTCCATCTGTCTAGCTGCCCCTTCTCAGCCTCTCGCATCCTCTTTCTGCACATGCTTTTCCTCCTGCTTTCTACTTCTTGTCTTGCCTCCTTCCCCTTACTCCCATCTCCAGTGTCTAACCTTCATTCTGCTCCTTTCTCTTGTTTCTTACACTCTTCCTCACTCTTTCCCCTGATTCTACTGTAACTTTGTCTCTTATTCATTCATTCCTACTTTGAATCATGAAATGTTATTGGGCACTAACTAACTGTGTGCCAGGTCCAGGCCAGACAAGGATCTTCTGTGTGATTCTCCAGTTCTTATGTTGTGATCTTCTGTGTGACTCCTCGCTTTGCCCTTATGTTGAGACTTTGGTTTCTAGGGTCACCTAGAGGTCCTGTCTCCAAGGGGCCCTGGGCCCACCTTGGTTTTTTTCTCTTTCTTTTGCCAGGTCCATTCCTGCATTTAAGTATTTCTAGGTGTTCCCATTCCTCACAGCCCCTTAGATGTGAATAGAATGGCTGGTTTCTCTCACATCCCTCATGTCCTTCCTGAGGGGAGGCTGGGTTTCATTCTGTGAATTTGTGTCTATGTGCAGAGTGGTTCAGGAGACCTTTTCACCAAGTCTCCATTCTAAAATCACATTGATGAGTCAGGACCCCTGAGTCTATAAAAAGAGTTTGGGGTCCTGATCCTCTCTCCTGAACCTTCTGCCTGCCAGGGCCCGGCTGATGCAAAGCTTTAAGGAGTCTCACTCCCATGAGTCCTTGCTGAGTCCTAGCAGTGCAGCTGAGGCCTTGGAGCTCAACTTGGATGAAGATTCCATTATCAAGCCAGTGCACAGCTCCATCCTGGGCCAGGAGTTCTGTTTTGAGGTATTGGGTCTAGTGGGCTTAGGACCAAAGGACAGGGATGCTGGAGGGTAGGGACAGAAAGTCCTAGAGGAATTGGCACAGGGGTTGATGTCAAGAGGATGTCAGAAACCTCTTGGGGCTAGGATAGGCCAGGGAGGCAGAAGTGGTGGGGAATCTTCAGTTCTTAGGAGTAAGCTCCCTCTGGAGTCCCATTCTCAACTCCACACCCTTTCTAGGTAACAACGTCATCAGGAACAAAATGTTTTGCCTGTCGGTCTGCAGCTGAACGGGACAAATGGATCGAGAATCTCCAGCGGGCAGTAAAACCCAACAAGGTATTGGGGAGTAAAGGGGACGTGCATGGCATGTCTGGGGCAAAGAATGAGCCACAGGGAAAGCTGGGAATGGAGCCACCATTTGACCCAGCTATTCCCCTTCTTGGTCTATTCCCTAAAGACCTAAAAAGAGCATGCTACAGGGACACTGCTACATCGATGTTCATAGCAG